ATGTAAGATGTAATTTAATTTTTGTAATTGAATTAAGTAGGTAATAAAATTGCGTTAAGTTAATGCGAATGAACCAGTTAATTACAGTAGTGGTACCAGTAGCAAATTTTCTTCTGAGGGGGTGATGTGTAAAAAAAATCTGCTTAGCTACCATTTATAAATCTTGTCCATATGGCTAGATCATAAATGGTGAATTATGTTTGTTTTTTAAGCATAATGCTGGCACAGTTTGTTTATCTTCATTGTTTGTTGTCTACACGTTTTAAAGTATTTTGTATCCATTTTTAAGTTTGATTATAAAAAAAAAAAACCGAAAGTTTGTGACAAGAAACATGTTCGGTAGGCGAAAAAGAAATATTAAAATGTAATTTCTGTGTTTGGTCTTGTTACTTTTGGTCCAACATACCTGTACGTTAACAAGAAGAGGCCTATACTTAACAAAATATAGATTATTTCTTAATAACATATTTATAAAAATAAAGGCTCTGGGAGCTGATGCATCACCCTGATCACCTCCTGTAAATACGACAGAGAACCATTGGAATAACCGAGAACTGTACCATTTATGTTGCCTGTTGGAAAAGTAATTTCATTCAACTCTCAATCAAAGCCGCTCATCCACACTAAACAGAGTTTTTGTATCGTTCCCCTTCCGACGGGTTCGGTTAGGTTAGGTTAGGTACGAGAATCCTAGTTGTATACCGTGTTTCTATAGTTGTTTTTTTTAATTTTTATTATTCGAACCGTGATTTAAATATTATTACTATTCCGTAGGCGACGTGGGCACCCGCGTGCAACTATATATACCTGTATATCTATATATACCTACACAGACGCGTTGGCGGTAGTTTAAAGACAGATGGACGCGAAGAAGACACGGTTATTAGCCGAGCCGACTCACCTTTGGCCCATCGACATTTCGTCGGCAACAAAACAAATGATAGTCGCTCTCTGCCTGCCAGGTATATATCCACTTTCTATATCGACGGCCAGCGCGGTGACCATCCCATGACGTGGTGTGCGCGCGTGCTCGGGAGACCGTGTACACTATTATTATTACTATCATTATCATTGACTATAGTGTGTCCCATATAAGTAGGCAGGCACAAGTACACCCGTACACCACGGTATTTTGTTATAATTGTTAACACACGAAAACAATGCAGCCGTCGAAGTCGGGGTCGGCCTCACACCGTCACATTGGTCGCCGGTTATATATATGTTTTTTATCGATCGTGTGTCCGATTAACATAAAAATACCTTCTCAGGTCCGCATCGAAGCTAAAAAAAAAACATTAATTTCTTTCTCGTCACGATTTCAATAATTTGCCACGGGACTCGACGTTCGACAGGTATAATTAAAATATTTCAAAAGCGCTGGCGCAAAGTTCCAATTAAAAAAATCTATACATAATTAATCGATCATTCGCGTTAACTACATGATAATATTATACGTTAGCTGTACCATAAAATACAAAAACTACCGAGGCTGGTGTTTTATATTACGGTTTTATTATTATTTAAACGTGCCTAGAACAGGCATTTAAAAGAAAAGAAAAACAAACGCCCATCATCGCATGGCAAGCAAGAAGCCGTAATATATCAATATATATACGGGTTGGGCATTGTGTGTGTGTGTGTATCTATAAAGATTTATGTACACAGTAAATAATAGTGTGCGAGAACGAGAGCGCGCGTACATACTAGTAGTAAAATATGTAACCGTATACAATATATTACTAAAAATAAAAACAAAAAAATTCACTTAAGAAATACTAAAAAAAAAAAAATATGATATAGGTACAGTCTAAATTTAATATCATGTAACAATGGAAGGTATTTTACGCTAGTAATGGCAAAGTGCTAAAAAGCAACAAAGAGACCTTCTTGAAACCACACAAAGCTCCTAAGCAAATAAGTTCACAACTGAAGTGGGGTCGTTGGACTCCTTCTTACATCAAGTTTTTATGTTAAGTAACGTTAATTATCCAATTTGTTTATTGTATTTTTTGTATACAGATTGTAAACATACTTTGCGTATGCTTACTTTTTAAAACAATTGCGTGCCTGATAAATATTATTGCTGACATTTTTAAAAATTATTTTGAAATATACGATTTCACGAAAACTAGTTAAAATGCATCATAATGGGAATCATGAAAAAATATACATACAAACGTATATTCGTGTTAAGATTTCTGTGCAGGAAACGAGTAGGTTTACGGCTGATAGCGTACACGGTTTTTATTAACGCCGGACAAAACATAAATAACATGTAATAGTAATAATAGTGATGGTGATAATAATAATAACACTGTAGTATCGGTATACCATTGTACTTGAGCCTGTATAATAATATTATGTCGTCGGCTCGAGCGATGACAAGTTAATGTATGTTTAATTGTTCGCTCGGCTGTATCATTGTCGTACCGGAGTGGTGTAATTTTTTATTCCTCTGACAATACCGTCCATACGTTTCCACACAATATTATAAGTCTTGTTTGATGTGTCTATATTATATTATTATATTATACTGCGTGTCATGTTTCGTTTATCCAACGGGCTCCTCCCCGGACCTCGCGGCTACAAGTCAAACAGCGTTAATAGATCAGCTATTCCTTCTCGCGTCAAGTCCATGTATGCATATGTATTATGCAAATGAATTCTGTTCTCGTACGCTTTTTAATATAAATATATACATGTATTTTTTTTTTTTTTTGTATGTTATTCGCCCGTTCCCGATACCAACAACATCTTATATTATTATAGGCGAGGTACCGTACACGAAACACGAGCTAACGCGGTTAAACGCACCGTTAATGTGGCTAAGGGACGTCGATAATATAGTAATGAGCTTAATTGTGTCCGACACGAGACTCCGGCGCGAAGAATGCGTCCGACACGTTATTGCTTGTAAATAAAACATTGGATATTATGGATAATTATGGTTGTTGGAATAGCCATCGATTTTATAGTATAGCGATACTGCTGTAAATTCAATTGGATATTAGGTTTTATTAAAAAATATATATATATATATTATTATACAGTATAGATTATCTATACAGAAGGATTCAGTGTTGTGTAAAAATAATTTAAAATAAATTATCCAGACAAGATAATGTAAAATAAAAGTTGTATGAATTATTTATAGAGATTGACAATTAAGGATCGAAAAATATCAACTCTAATCAATCGACGATGAACGAAAAAAGTGTATACAATAAAAACAAACGTGCCGTATGGTCCACCCAGATTGTTTTTGATTTAGAATGTATTGGTATTTACAGTCATAGCAGCTCTGCTATACAGTATATAGTGAGTTTTTTTGTTTTATTTTTTCGATAAACCAACATGGCATTTTCGTTAAAATTAATCAAAAGTTGAAACCTTTTAGACAATAGACATTAACCAATGCCATGTATCGTGATTATTTTTTTTATAAATTGTATATATTCGATATTTTAAAAGTTGTCACGAATTTTATTTTTACCACAATGGCGTTTGAATCGGACAAGACATTTATGAGTGAATTAATAGAAATTTACAAACGATATCCAGCTCTATTGAAGTGTAAGAGCATTCTTAATAAAAAAAAAAACTCAAGAAATACGGGCTCAATGGCATTTTTCAAAAATGTAAAGAGAAATACCCTGAAGTGACCTAAAATAGTTAGAAAAAACAAATTTAAAAACATATTTTCGACGGACACTTACCAAAGTGAAGAGCCGTTTTTTATACAAGATCTTAGCCAGACGACTTATACATACCAGCTTTATGGCACTTAGATGAATTGATGTAACACTAACAACAATATCAACAACAAACAAAAGTATAAGAATTCCAACAACAGTATTTTCAACAACCGCACCACTGCAAATACAGACTTAACGGACTAAACACATGGACAACGTTGTGTAAAGATATTTTTTTAACTGTCTAGATAAAATAATATATAATTCGTTAGAATTCTATCCAGATAAAATAATATAGATGACACGCTTTTTTAACTACATAAATACATAATTATGAATACATTTTATCTAGATAAAAAACAAATCATTTTTTCTCTACAAAATGTTTAAGTGTTTATAATATTTACCTACTATATAACTATAATATATAATATTATAAATTTGGTTACGTATTTCTTTACATTAACATCAATAGAAGTAGCTGTAAAATATAAATGTCATAAAACAAATCTACGTGACATTAAACAATTGCATGAGAAAAAATTATAAATATCCAGTTTCTACTTGTTAATTTAATTGTAAAAGCTTTTCGGTTAATATTATTTATTATTGTTGAGTGTAGTAAATACCTTTAGACCTAATTTTTTTCTCTATTAAATATTAATTTATACTAAATTCCACGTTCACAAATGAATTAATTATCTAGATAATTTTTTTTTATACTAAATAAGATAAACAGATAATTTAAATAATATTTATTTAGACCATTCACAACACTACACACCGGTAAATTTTGATACGTTACCAAAAACTATTTATTATATTATATGACAGGTGAATGTATATTGTATATAGTGTTTTATAACATATTATATGTTTATATCAGATCCTCTGGCATGGCACCAAAGTGACCGCACTTGTTAAAAAAATAAAAACACAAAAATATAGGTATGTTTAATAATTAAAAATCGATCTCGGTTTCCCATCGAATGCAAATCACAATATTATTATTTACATAATATACATTTTATGTAAAATAATATTATAAACAGCATTCGATTTTTAAAATGCGATCTGTTATTATACAATAACCAGTAATCACATTGGACATTTAATTCGATATAATATGTACAGGGTGATTCAAGGACAATACTAAAATGCACTTTTTGTCATTTGGCATTTTTACTATTTCAATGTCTTGTGATAGGTACCACATGCGAGGCTCGGAGTCATGTTTACTCACTGGCTACGCCGTATCAGTTTGTAATAGGTAAACATAGTGTAGGTGTTCAATATTGTACCAACCTTGTTGAGCAATCCTCGTTTGAAGTTTTCCCTGGTGTACTTGCCGTTGACGCTCTCCAGCTCCAGGTGCTGGGCGCATTTCCTCAACTTGGTCGCTCTCTCCCGTTCTTTGATACTTTCCATTTCCATGGCTGACATTTGCGGCGGCTTGGGGGGTTTCAGTTCCACCTCCACCATGGGTGCAAATTGACTATTGCGGCCACTCGCGCTAGGACAATTCGGTTCCGTGTCGTCGTTTCGCGAATATTTAATACCTTGTGGGTCCGACTCCCAGGTGATGGTCATTTCTTTAAGACGGCCAAGCGACTTGCGTCTGGTCGCCGTCTCGTCGTCGCCGACGACGCCACCGTGAACTTCGTTGTGCTGTTCCATGTTTCTGTTTTAGTCACGCTGACTGTACATGTCTGACTGTAAAAAACAAAAAATAAGTATATTTAAAAAAAAAATTAGAGGTGCGGCGATAGTGGGTACACCCCGTTTTCAACATTGGTTGTACGGCGAGAAAATACGGTTACCGTGTCAAGCTTAAATTGTAAGTTTATGCTTTTGCCTATACATATTATAGATGGGGGAGGTAGGCTTTGAAAATTGAGATTCTTCAAACATATCCCGGCTCACGAAAAAAGTTGAGCATCAAAACTGGTGTAGCCTCCACCGAAAAGGCTTTATTTTTACCTAAATACTGTAGGAGCTTCTGTTTTTCAAAAAGCAAGTTTTTGTTCAAGCTAATGGATATCAACTATCAACCATGAGATAACGTAGACATTTATTTTTTTTTTTTCTCTCCTAGCAAATTGTATAAATGTCACTTTTAGACATGGTTCTTGCCATATTTAATTCATCAACATTTCGTTAAGAAATTATAATATTACAAAAGTTGTCTTTGTCCACGTTTATTTTTATTTTTTAAATCGATAATAAACGTATTATTGAACCGCACGTTTCTATTTATAGCACTACACTATACTGCGTACTGTTAATCACCCTCGTTTATGTCTCTCGGATTTAAATGCCGGTATATAATAATATGGAAGCGGGTATACCTAGTGAGTTCAGATTGTCGAAGCGTGATGACCGGTTAAGATCTAACATGATTTGCCTGCCCGCCCATATGATTTTTTTTTCTATTTACATTGTTCAAGTAAACATACATATCATTCGGTTGTCAGATCGAACTGTGTATATACAATATCTAATACGGCACAGCAGTCGGTAGGTTATTATTATTTGTATATGTATTACTATGATTGATCGACCACGGTGAAATATCGTACTCGTCATCATAACGAGATCGGTATAGGGTCAGTATAGAGTCGATGCACATGTTTTGTATTGTGCTAGATTTTCTTATGTACTAAATATGTTATTGTAATATAAGCGTTAGACTAAAAGTCCGATTATTCACCAAACGCGAATAGTATGGTTTAATTTTGTATTATAAAGATAGATACTGTTATTAAATAGGTAATATGATTCTAAAAAGCAAATAAGTCCGTTTAAAATTGTATTATTAATTGAGATTGACGTCTGACAGCGGATTTACTTATGTGACATGAACAATTAAATATTGTTGGTCTATGGCAAATCATCGACGATGCAATTCAATATGATATAATATAGTTTGTATGCCAGTCCACGCAATGACGGTTTAATTCAAATTAGTATATTATATTATTACATTTTTCTACTAAATACGTTTTTTTATGAAAATCAAACTTTTTAAACGTCGGTGGTAGTATATCAAATAAAAATAGTTGTCTAGTTTAAGACATTAGAAGTAATTTAAAACAATTAAATCATATCCATAAAAAAAATTAGTGTGCGAATAATATTATTATTTTGAGGTGTCTTCAACGTTATTAATATTATTTATTTTGTATTCCTATATAGGCATTTTTATCTGTGTTGAGCAGTTTTTTAGTAGGGATTCTAAAAATTTTTCTTCAGCGGTTACGGCTTATCGTATCAAATCGAACAAGTTTTAAAATATTGTTGATACGTTTGTTAGAGTGGAATATTTTACTGCAGTCCTAAAACGTTTTCCATGTTATGTATATTATTGTAACCAAGTGTATAACTTAATAAATCCGCACAGACACAAATAAAAGTACGATCTCGTTTGCATAAGTAGGTAGCTAAAATAATTTTAATGTTTCATACTTTGTATCAACCGAGGAGCAATTATTGTTATTGATAAGTAGTTTTTATCCAACCCGGACGACTTAATAAATCGTCGAAGGGAATGACCGACAAACTAAAACGGAGGCGGATAGACACTCCTGCCCCCTTGTATCCATCTATGTTTTGATTGTTAGTATCATCCCCAGGGCATTACACGTCCACACAGAAGTTTTGGTAACATACATTGTTGCTTATTAAAAAAAAAATTGTTGTATACATTTTTTATTTTGTTACAAGTAACATTTTGTGCTTTTTATTCGAAGGCAAAAAAAAAACGTGTAATTGCTCCCTTTGTTAAATAGCTTTGGAGCCGCCTCTGCATTAAAAATAAAAATAATATTTTATTGCCGTTTTTTTACCAGTGACAAATTGGCATGTACCTACACATATGAAGTGACCGGCTAAATCATATGAAATAAAATTAATAGTTTCATAATTATTTTTATTGTTTAGTGCAAAATGTTTCAATTACTAAGTCAGTCTACTCGATTACTCGGAATTTTGTTTTATATTTTTTTCGTAATCCAACTTACACTGAAGATGTTCAGAGTTCTAAACGTGCAGATTGAGTTTGATTTTTTTTTTTGTTTAAGAAAATAGTAAACTACCATCTTAGCCAGTAAACGAGAGCTCTTAGAAATGTGATTAATGGCATTTATAATATTATGTTTTTGTGTACGTGATGTACGCAGATATTGCTATTTTTTCACTTTGAAGCGTCCTTAAGAGAAATTAGTCCAACTAGCAAGAAATGTCACATTGTTACAATACTCTGTTAATTTATGATCTATTATATTTTATTACCTTTATCTGTCTAGGGGTTTATTGCATGTTTGAAATAACGATTGCATTTTCAATGAGACGAGTAGAAAGAAAAAACAATAATGTTATGTTTCCTCTCGGGTAAGTTTGTTCGGTTTTCTAATATCGATAAAGTAGTGAAATAATTTGGAACATTTAAAATGTATATAAAGTATTTTAAAGTAACAATAATCATATTGCCTGCTAACAACACTTTATTTTTAATCTCCGAGTTAATTAAACCTAAAAACAATTATGAATTAAATTAAAGTAAGTCTAACAGTATTTATAAATTCTAAATAATTATGATAGAGGATAGCAAAATGATGTTTTATAGTTTAAGAGGGTGTCGCACCGCCTATTTTTAAGGAGTAAAGTATAGGCAATTTTTCACAAAATCTTAATTACAGGTTAAACTGTGATGTGTAATTATTAGTTCAATAACTAGGACTCTATTTTGGTAGTTAATTTATTTTTCGGACAATCACAGCATCCTTGAAAGCGATTTGAGAATGTTTTTTCATCTCTACATGTTTAAGCAGACTGAAAATAACTTCCGGAGGGCACTACGGTGCGTTTTTTTGTTTTTCCAAGTATAACGCTCAATACATCGTTTAGAAAAAACGACTGTTTTAACATTTTTAAATGACTAACTTTTCAAAAAATGAATTTTTTTAAAAGACGCACCGTTGTGCCCTCCGGAATGTTGTTTTCCTTTAATTTTAATAATGAGCATTATGGCTCTAAAACCAAAATTAAGCGAGTTATTTTCAGTCTGCTTAAATATGTTTTTACCACTGAAAATCACCGGTGCGACGCCCTCTTAACGTGATTAAATAACTTTTATAAAAAAAGGGCATCGACGGGAACCAAATACATTGTAATAATGTATAATTTTAAACGATATTCTTACAAAACTATAGTTTATTTTTAAGACTAAGACTAACCGTATGCGGAAGCCTTAGGGTTTTCATGGAAGTGTTTTATCACTTTGAAATTTATTACTATCCGGTACCTTTAAGCCAGTGCCGCTATTTCCTTTATGTACTGTACTACTTTATTAAAACAGTTGCCCACAGCGCTGGTATTTTTTTTTTATCCTAATGGCTCGTGTATTATAATAGCAATATCAGTTTTGTGGATAGTATATCATAATGTGATATTGTGTATGGTTTTACCGGAACTTGTTGGGTTGTGCCGATGTCAATTAATTTACCGGACAGTAGTTTTTTGCGTTAAGTACGCGTTTATGGTTTGCCGTAGACAAATTAGAACATTTTTTATTTTATTTATTTCTTCAGCGGCGTGTCCTTTGTGAATGCGTCGTCATTAAGAGATCGTTAATCATTAACCGCATTGTCGCAGAAAGAAAAAAACAAATTATTAAGAAAAAAAGGAGCTTCTAGCCACATATCGACTTAACTATACAACTGGACATGCGATTAATGTTTTGCACAGTAAATACATAATAATAATAACTGTTATTCGTCTCGTGATGGGTCAAATAAACGTTTTTTAATGTAACCATCGCTTGTAATAGATTCGATACTGAAAAATAAGTACCGTACGGATTTAATTGCCACAAGTCTACAAGTCGTGATGGGGAGAAGCAATTTTTTTCCACTAAATTATAACCGGTAAACCGTCAATATAGTGGCTATTATATTATGCATGTTTCTGCGTTTAACGAATTTGCCTAGGTCAGTGAATACAATTATTATTATATTTCAACAGTTCAACGGACTCTTTTGAATAAGTTGTTGGTGCTGGCTTCAGTTATTAATCACACACATGTTTTTAATATATAAAAATACAATTAGATAGAGATGGAAATGATCAATTTTTGTATGAAAAGTCAGAAACATAATGAAATGTTGTTAAATGAAAAAAAAGCAATACAAAACATAATTCCCGTGCAGAGAATTATGATTTTTTTTTAATTTAAAATGTTTTGTTTGTGCGATACTTTGGAAATTTGTGCGGTTAATATTATAGTTGTTTCCCTGTCAAAGCACGTTGTCGAAAATATCATGGTGATTATTATGAATTATTATAAATAAAACAATTTTATTCAAAATATATTATTGCTGGGAGTGTTCCTGATTATTGCCTAGACATTTTCTAAAATCCTATTTCGACAGTAAATCAAATTGTAGTTCAAATGTTATAACAAACATTATAAAACAGTAAAAATATTTAGGGATTATTGTGGAAACGTACATGTGTACTATTAGTAGGTATTCGTGTATACTGCTAAAAATGATTTTTAAATATTTTTATGATTAAAAAAAAAATAGAAAGAAAACATTGCAACAACAGTATTATAAAACGTTGTGTTGTTAAAATGGATTTTTTTTTCTACGTGGGCTTTGAAGTTTTTATCCGGTCGCTTTTGATGCGTTCAATATGATTTCGTTGACGATCTTTGACAGACAATCGGAGAAACGGTTTATAATAACAATAATAATTTGTTTTACTAAAGTGCGCTTGTGGTTTTTTTTTTTTTTTTTACGTAACAAAATCACGTTATCGGTTATCTAAACGCACCGAAAACGCCCCGAGGACTTTGTAGAACGTTAAACTTGAACGACCAACGCAACGGTGATTAGAAAACGAACTGTACATTTTTGAACCGTGTATCGGCTATTAATATTACAGTTCAGGATTGTCTATGCAAATATTTCGGACAGCACACGTAACACTTCCTGACATAATCAACGTGCTCTTGAATTGAAAGAAACCGCAATGAAAAAATAAATATATATAACTTGATCAATAATAATTAGAATATTGGCTGTTAATCGTATAAGATAATTTAATAAAATTACGTTTTTTTTCTAATTTATTACAACTGTTGTTTTAATTGATTTTTCTGACTTTGCTTAATTCAGCTGGCTTGCGTTAAAAACAACAAAATTTGTCTACATAATTTCTATACCTTCGTAATAGCCCATCGAATGTACTTCAATATCTAATTGTAAGTCAGTACATGATCCTACCGTTAGATAAACACCATACTAATTTATCATTTTGAATGAATAATGCACAAAAAGTCTTTCGATGACTATACCGAGTTGTCTAAGTTAAGAAGTTTAAAAAAAAAAACATTGGATGAGAAAACGCAGAGTTTGTCCAGCATGTAAATAGCTAGTATAGTACTGACCTAACTTATAGCGCGGAGAGATAAAAAACTAAAGATGCAGTACATTTTTTTCTACGGCGAACTGTTTAAAAGTATAATACATGACGTTTTAATTTCATCTTAGTTTTCTTTATAAATTCTAGAAATCACCAAAAAATTTATCTAATTTATTTTATTAAAAAAATTGGTGTATAATAAAATATTAAATGTATATTAGATTCATACCTTATAATTAAATATACCTTAATTCAATTTACTTTAATTAATTACAGAGGATTCAAAATGAGTCTTAGATGAATTTTTTAATTCAAAACATAACGCGTTTAAATATTTTTAATTGAATTTTATATTTATACACGGTAACGATGTTAAATTAAAGTATAACATATTAATAAATAATATAAACAACAATATATTAAAACAAGATAATTTTCATAGTTGCCTTTTATATATGTTATATATTTAAATGGTATAGCTAAGCAAAAATAAGAAAATCGTTTTAGTAAAAGATAAACCGCCAGGTGTTAATTATAAATTATAACAGCTCAATGAAAATAAATGTTATTATACTTTTTGTATTTGAATTTTAATGAAATTGTCAACTATTTTAGCAATACATAATACTAATCATCCAACTTTTATGTATTTAGCGGTTTGGAAGTGTTATATTACATACCACGGAATCAGTTATGGTATGCTTTATAATAAAAAACAATTACTATACATTTCTAAACGAAGCTAAAATAGTTTATTATTGATACCAACTTTATAAAGAAATCAAACTTTTGACATTACCTATTTTATTAGCACACAATAATATGAAAAAAATCGTTGACCTCATTTTAAGAATATATTGCTAAAATAATTTCATACAGTTGTAAATTTTAAATTATGACACAATTCCCACAAATTTCTGCACGAAAAATAAAAAATGATATACTAGTTTTAAATAACGGTTTAACGCAAAACAAAATATTTTTTATTTTTTATTAGATATTTGCAATTATTTAAATGTACTGTATTATGAGTCCTAGGTTTATAAATCTATTTTACGAAATACTGCAAAAAAAAGTTAATTTTGAATTGTAGACTGATTATAAAGGTTTAAAATTATTTTATTTCTCGTTCATCGATTATTGCACTTGTTGCGCTTAAAAGACCGCAGATTGCATAATGTCTTACAACGAAATTGTGGTACTCTAATTAGTTTATAAATATTGGTTAAGTACTTATATAATGTTTTAATCTTTAATTATAACCCTTCTGTGCACAACTGAGGAAATAACGTTAATGCGTACGTACTTATGTGGTTTTTGTACATAAAAAAGTTGTTTTAATAATTTTCTCCGTAAATTTGACTACTTATTAAAAAAAAAAATAGCGAAACTTTGTTGGCTTATTTTTTTTCTAACGTACATTTTCAAGTTTATGAAGGCGGTGAAGATTAAAATTTAAAGTAACACTAAATACTTAGCGAACGAATCTCAAATATGTGTTAATACATTATTTCTATGGTATGCACAATAGCCAATGTTTACATTACATAACACTGTATGATATATTATAATATTTACATATTAGCCATTATGTATATTGTAAAATATGTATAATGAGAATTCATTAACGTCACATGACCGCGGTGACTTCAATGTTCAATACATTAGATATAGTCGATCATCCAGTGGTTTTTATATGATATTCTTGAGTTTAAGAGATTAATAATCTAGCAATAAATGTTTTATCTCGAGTTTTTATAGAAAATCTAAACGATTATGGTTTAAATTATAATGGAAAAGTTTATATTATATTATTTTATTTTAAACAATAGAAAATAGTATAAAATGTTTTTAGTAATAAATATTGGTTAGTTTATCTTTGTTTTATGCGACTTGAAGAGATATCATAATAATAGTTTTTTTAAAGCTTATTAATACGGTTATAAAAATTATATTTATAACCGTCCTCCCCAGTCCGCATATTCTAGTTTTTACTTCATTTTGAAGCTAAACCGGTGAGAATATAAACAAATATATAATGTCGTATCAGTAGACAAGTTTAATGCATTAAACATGTAATAATAACTGTCGCGAAGAAAAAGATGCCTTGTCAAAAAAAAAAAAGAAGAAATACCCTCGCAGAACGACTTCAGATCACTGGATTTTACCTGGTTATTCGAATAAAATCCAACAACGATTTCGATTGCAGTTTATATGCACAACGGAGACGCGCACCAACTTAAGCTAACTAAGTAAAACCAATAAAAAATTGATAACGCAACGAAATATTATAATTCTGCGATTTTGTATTGTTCTGAACTTAAAGCTACATAGACCGATAAACTTGGCGAACTCGAATGTGATTTTGCGTGTCGGGTGACCGGAGCCGACAATTGGTAACTGCGGTTGTGTACGAATCTGGCCCAGCATCCTGTGCCGCCTTGTCTGCAGCCTCTCTCCGTCCCCTCTCCGGCCGGTCTTCTGCGGTGCACAATCTGCCCATTTGAATATTCGGCACACACGCGCTATTTATTTTGCTCTCTGCACAATGTGTAACAACGAAATAATTACCTAAACAAAAAACGGTCTCCCCCAAGGATTTCAAAGAGAATATAATATGAAAAAATCAACGCGACGTCTCAAGGTGATTTCGTTCGCGGAGGTTGACCAATCGGGCCTTTGAGAGCGTTCCATTCGTTAATCATTTCCAGGGGCGGTCATTTGCGCGGTATTCGACTTGCTAGAAATACTCACGCTTGGCGTTAAACGATAAGGTAAGTGCAGTGATTAGGTAAGGGCGATAATTTGTGCAGATATGTGTACTTAAGTGCAATGGTATAATGATATATATGACCACATTGACATTTGAATACATTTGGAAATACACCAGTAAAAAGCACAAAATTAAAAATACAACGTAAAGGTATAAGAATATCTGTTGTCTATTGAACGTAGAAATCGGTTTACTATTTAAGACATGTTTCTTAATTTCTTCTTTACTAATTGGTGAAATAAAAATGCTATTAGGATTTGATAGGATATTATTTAAAGAATTTAAGGTTTTGCTTGTTTTATAATTAATACTATTTGCAATATTAGTATATGTATATATTAACTTTAAGCTCCGAATAATGAGCTTGAAGCTGCAAGTCTTGTTCTAGAAGTGCGATTTATTTATTTTTATTAAACAGCTTTCCACTTACAGAAGTCTGTTACTTACCAAAAGTGATGGAAATTTCAATCAACTTGTAATTTGAATAAAAATATCAATCAGCAATCTTGAGTAGTGACTAAATAAAAAACCAACATCATTTGATAATAAATGTATATTTCATATAAGTATAATACAGTGGTAGATTTGTATTTTTAAATAACATTATTTTTTAGTCAACAATTAAAAGGTCATCTTCAGATGTAAAATTTATCATAAATAGTTTTAATGTATAACTTGTTTATTTAAAATAAATAACAATAATAAAATATTATTAAATTAAAGACATTTTTTTCTTCTTGGATCATTGTTGAAATATTAGCAATTCTAAGACAGCGTATGTGTGGAAATTTCTTCATGGTATTACGGCAGAAAACCCTAAGTATTTATAGTAGTTATCAAATACCGTACTTCGAAGTTTAGCTATGTGTTCATTGACATATGCAAGTATTTCATTTGGTGGCATGTATGGATATCTTTCGTTGTCATCAAGCAATATACAATTTTTTCTGTTTATAAACGCGTTTATCAAGTTATAAAACGTCTCTATAGAACTTATATTTCGTTCACATTCTTGTTTGATGTTAATGTTTTTGTCAGGGCGGTCAGCTAGCATTAGTAATAAGATTTTAATTTTTGAATGATTCCTGAGCAAACTGACATAAAGAATAAATTTTCCGACGTGTGCCTCGTGGATAGGATACAAATCTTTGACCCAGTTCAAAGCACTGATCATGTGGTCAAACATATCCAACGAGTCTGTGATGTGTTTCAAAATTGATTTATAGCATTCCAAGCATTGTTCATAATTTGGATTTCCGATAAGCGACGCCTGAGTGGCCAAATTTCGACACTGCAAAAAACCGAGCACTACCGAACTGATGTACTTGCACAGCACGTCCATGTACTCACAACCGAGCAACGTAGCAGTAATAAAGTATTTTTCATCAATATTGTCTTCGGTTATCGGGTCATTGTATATGTTTATTATGGAATAGATTGAAAAATTACCCGATTTTGTCTGAACCTTGAATTGGACGTTAGTAATGTTTTGCCATCCAGTGTAAGTCGTTAGCAGCCTTAGATTGTCTACAATATGTTGGACGTTGCCTGGTGCACACGAAACACATAACGGTTGATAAACGCATACAGGAAATAAAACAACGAGCAAACACGGTGCACGGTTAATCATTTTACATAAAAATTATAAAAATATTTTCGAAAAGTATATATTATACCGAATAAACTATTCCTTTCGGAAAACACAATAATTAGGAATATTACAAGCACCTAGGTAGGTAGTAGGTTCGTATGCATATGCACAAACACAATGATTTGGATTCCTGAAATGTTCCAACTGATTGTTATTCGTTTGGTTTTATATCGTTAAACATTACCATTTAACAAAGATGCACTGCTATGTGCGATGAATCATTTATTTGTATCAAATAGGCCCTATGGGACAATTGTACAAATTCGCATGTACAATGTTGGAGTTTAATTTTTAAAGTATGTATGGATTTGTTGACAAATTGTCTAGGTTTTCTTAACAAGCCGATTTTTGATTTAAAATTTGGTATGCCTAAAATAAATTCGGAGTGTCAGAGCATATTATATGCAAAGCACAGCTTAACTTAAGTTTAAGTGCTATATAATATTATTTTATTTTCAACAAACACTGCTAAGATCCAAAAAACTGTGCAGTTGTAAACGAATGGAACGAATGTAAATGCGAATTTGCACAATTATTGTCCCATATGGGCCTATTTGCTACACATAAATGATTCATCGCACATAGCAGCTGTGTTCCAACTCCCTTAATCTAAAAATGTGTAATCACAGTCAAATAAAACGCTTTGATGGCAATCTGTTGGTGGAACAAAATATGTTAGCTACTATTGTAAGCGTAATAATGTGCTTAAAATTGTATTTAAAATATTAGGGTCGATATGGTTCGGGTTGATCGCCTGTCTACAATAATTTGTTGCCGTTGTTAAACTTATATCATAATTAATAATAAAATTGATTAATTTATTTTTTAATTAACCGTCAGCTAGTCCAATTTACAATGTGTACAACACATATTGTATAGATACAATAGAGATAGAAACTATATAACTATCATATTTTTCTATACACAATTAATAAAACATAAACAATTAAATGAATATAATGAGAATAAGACTATGTACAATAGGTATACATTTATTTAATGCAAATATTTTTCAGATACCTCTTGACGACTGTCAATACGTTCACGCATAACAACCTGAGAATTTAACACGTTGTACATGTTGGGGCCTATAAAGTACCTTTAATGTACAATTTCTGACCTTGCCGTTAGTGTTACTATTTAAATACTATGTTTTACCGACATTTTACGTTGGTACGGTTGGGTTTTTTTTATAGATAATATGCTCGTTAACTCAATCAGATCCGATTTTTCGATGCGGATCGAATTGATCTGTTTTTTTTTTACGTGAAATAGCGAAGCACATAAATAATTTTTAAGCGGCCACCGTAGTACACAGTAATTGACACTTGACCACAAGGGGATATCACTTGGAGGCTATCTGAGATTCCGGTCTACCGTCGGCGGTTTGGTGGCCGTTTCCACAAACGGATAAAACCGCATGTTAAAGCGACCCGTTGGATCATAAAGTGTACCGCGGGAACGGGAAGCCGCTATTTACTTTTGATACACACATGTACAGGGTGATTCATTTAACGCAACACACTCATTTCTTCGGCAAACCATTACAATCGTGTAGTTTTTGTTCTGAAAAATGTTTAGCTCTGTTATTTTACAATAATTTTGAAAAATTACTAAATACTTAGGTACATTTTTATAAGAATTTTACAGAACGACCGAAACTTTGAAACTTAAATGGTAATACCGAATATGTGTACATTTAATTGACTTTTTAAAAGAAGAAGAATGATTTGCCGAGAATTTTTACAGGTCTATATAGAGTTTTGAATAATTACTTTTAAAGTTATTAAAGTTGAAAATTGTAGAATAGGGAGCGGAGTGACTAGATAAAAACTAGACTCCACCCTCCCTCCTGCCCTAAATTGTAATCCTGATTAACATTAAAAGTAATTATTCAAAGGTTATCGACCAATCAAAGATAGCCAAGCAAATTAATTATTCGCGTTTAAAAAAGTCTAATTGAATTATATTTATTTCATCATTTAAGTTTCAAAAGTTAATAGCGCTCTGGAAAATATTAAAAAAGGATACTTTACAGTGTTAAAAAACTACAAAATCATAATTATTTTACCAAAAAACAAGTGTATTTATAATCAACGGTTAAATGGATCACCCGGTACTGTACAGTTGTTGTATTCAGAATTATTATTATTATTACTATTACTATTTTTATAGTGAAAAAAAAACACCTGCAAGTTTATACTGTAATGCCGTAGACGTTTTTACTAAAAGCCGAGTTGTGACATATGTTCGTCGAAGAATGCGTAACCTCATAAACAAGCAAAATATGGTATAAAAAAAAATATAGAATAGTAGGTATAATATGCGTTTATAGTGAATCTCGCATAGCAAACGCAAAAACGGAATAAAATAATATAAAACAATGTGTATTTTATGTTCAACTAGGTCCAGTAAACTATTTAGTCAAAAGACATGACTGACATATTAAAATAAAACAATTAACTTTATATTAAAATTGAATCAAATTAAAAGCCAATAAAATCAAATATTTTATTTTATTTCCCCATAACAAACGACTAGGTTTGAGATTCTAATTGAGTAGGCATTGCCAGTGTTACCTATGTGTAAAATATTTATGATCTCGTTTTACCGTTTATCATTTAGGTACTGATATTATTTTATGATATACAAAATTCGTGCTAAGGTACAAGCTTTATAAACTTAGTCATTTTCTCGGTTACCTACTTCTAGTTATATTTTCATGATTGCAAATGTTACTAACAAAACACATTTTACCGAACAGCTCATCACAAATAAATCACTATAGCGAACGTTAACGATAAAACATATGTCTTTGCTACAGACATGACAAACAAATGGTTAGCATATTTTGTTATTTTTTCAAAATTTTTCTGTGTAAAATCTAAATCTACTACAAGAAAACGATTTAATGTTTAAGATTCGTTCCTAGAATAATATAAATTTCAATGCATTCACCAACATATTATATTATCCATCATTCTACTCTAATGATTCATATAGATACAAATAATGCTCACTATTTGGACCATTGTTGATCTGATCTTATTCCATTACAATATAATCTACATGCAATTACAACAGATAAAACTATTTTTGAACAAACTTTTTAAAAACTAACTTCAAGGTTGTAGTCCGGGACATGTGTTTCGACTTTTGTAAATGTCTACTAAATACTTGTAATATATTATTAAATGCTAATTGATATGTTCCTAAATTTCGGAATCGTATCCTTTAAAAGTCCTATTATAGTTATAAAGTATTAATGTTTTAACTACATGTTATTACATTTAAATATTTTATGAATCTTTAAACGATTTTTATATACATAAATTAAATTCATGTATTTATATATTATAAATATAAATGGTTGTTGTAAGTTGTGACTTTTTATAAGAATATAAAACAGACCTTAAAGAAATATATGTTTTATGATTGTATAAGGAATGTAGAATTGAGGTTCAATAAAACACCTCAGAAAAGAATGTATTTCAAACTAATAATGTATTTGATTCATATCCTTGATTTTTATTAAGTATTTAATTAAAAAACCAGTGTGAGTATCCAATTAAGCGGAATTTTGCGCGTGTATTGTTAGGAATAATATATTTATTTCAAGTCGACTACATGTACTGGGTACTAGTTTGATTGATATGAACATATAGGTACACAAAACATATAACTACATCCATAATGGCTGTTATTATTCAACATATTACACTACAATAGTACTTAAAAAGGACAACGAATTGATTGAGTAGGTTTATATGGTTGGTTACGTTTAGTACCTATTTACGAGTTAGCTAATTAGCACAACAATATGAGACATGGGTAAAAAAATAAACATCTTACTAGAAGTCGTAAGAATGAATTCAATACTGAAAAAAAAAATAATAATGATAATAAGCGATCTTTAGCTATATGCCTAGGCAATTAAAAAAACGTATTCCCAGCTTTTGTAAGGAGACATAGTGGTATCGTGATTAAGCTATGTAATTGCATTTTACTGCACAACATTTAAATCTACCTACGATTAGAAATGATACTATGCGTAGGCACATTGTTTCAAAGATACAAAGTTGACTTACAAAAAAAGTAACAAAAAAAAAAACAATAGGATGACATAGGTACTCATTAGTCATTAATAGCATTTACCAATGGATTATGGAGCTGAGGAAAATAATATTACATTAAGCATTCGGATCACACGCTGAAGAACTGTGAAAGACACGTAATACAAACGAACCGCATTCCAAAACGGTTGTTTTTTTTTATATTGAACGCGCAATATTAAATGATCCACATAGCTTTTACATTGCTAAAGGATTTTTGTGTAACGAATGTAATTTTTCCATGTAATAAATCTATGTGAATCGTTGCTACCCGTTTGGAATATTTAAACGATTGAGATTTCAAAATATTATTCGAAAAATATACCTAGAGATTTTTTTGTTCATCAAATTTTAAGTCACAATTGAACACATTTCCGTTACGCCAAGTACACTATATCGATATGAACCAAAACTATTAAAATATTGTGTAATGGTTTAAAATGAATCGTTTAATTTATATTTGTATGTCATACTGTAAAAGAATGTATTCAATTTTGGCTAAACAGTAAACATGTTGTATTGATTAACTATTTAAATAGTTATACGATTTTATTTTAAGCATTATTTAAATGTATATGTAATTTAATTATTTGAATAGTAAAAAAAGCTAAACACTTATTAGAAAGTATTACTATAACATTTTAGAGTTAAATTTGTGAAAATAATTGTTGTACTTTGTAGGTAAACGTATTTATGGTAGTAAGAATATTTGGTCAATGTAGCGATGGCTTTTTTTTTAAAAGTTAAAATTATTTTTCAAAATTAATTATATCTAGATAATTTCTAGAAAATAATACTGATTAAAATAAGTTTTGCCAGTTGACATGTACGTAACGATTATAGTAATAAGCTTGTTAGATAGTTTTGAAAAGGTCAAGTAAACGTCCGAGTTGGTTTTTGGTGTACACCTATTACCAAAATATACTTACACTACCTTTTTGTTTACATTTGTATCGCTCTTATTCATTCCGCCGGCGTAACTATGGAAATAATGCATAGTATGTTTGATCAAACCATCATTTTGTTATGTATGTTATTAAAAGCCTTAAGTTTGTGCTCTTCAATACATGTTAAATAAATTACTTAATTTAAATTATTCAATAATAAAATAATTAACTATAAAATATTAATTATAATTAGGTTGTTTGACAATTTTTAACTACTAGTTTACAACTTCGCTATTAAACTAACAAACTAACTGTTCTATACAAGGGACGAAAATGTATATTTTACACTTTTCAAATATCTACTACTAGTTTAACCTTATCGTTTTATGTGTTAATTAATATATTATTATTATTTATTGTTATTTTACTATTATCATTGTGTTTAAGTTCTCTTAACTTTAATTATATACACTACCTATTGTTGGTCATGTTGATACACTTTTACTTATATTATTATAACATTTATACGTTCAAGGAATAAAACAACAGTATTTTGATTACATCAACAACAAGCTGTTTATTCTAATTGACTACACTTAAAAAAGTGTATTTTTTAGTGTAAAAAGAGGTAAAGTAAGTTTTTAGTGTACAATGTATCTTGATAGAACATTAATTATTATACTTGCATATTAAAAATTCCAAACACATTACGAGATTCTTTTATTGTTTTTTTTTTTTAATTCATTTTTATAACCTTACTTGTTGAAACAATTTTTTGATCATAAAAGGTTAACATAACGATTTAATATACATATATTTAACATTATAACGTGCAAAACACTGTTGCGATATAATAACACTAATGTAAAATAAAATTTAAATATATGTAAATTATATGCGCTAACTTAACTGTAGATGATTTAAAGAACAATTAAATAATAATGTTTATTTATGTACTTTTATTAACACTTATTTATTTTGTTTTTTCTACTAGGTATTCTCAAGCCGGACAAATTGATTTTTTACTCATTAGTATTGACACACTTATTATTTAAGCAAAATGCCAACTAAAAAGAAAACTCTATCCAATCCTATCGTATTGGTCAGTGATGATTCAATCGATCCGCCCGGTGCTACAATTGTAAATGAATCAAACACAAGTAATATTTTCATTGTATTCATGTAATTAATCACATTAATGTTATAAAATCATTAAAATGGTTATGCCATGCTAAATATTCACTATAGCCGAGTTGGCCGAAAAACCAAATGACGGGTTCAAAGTTATAATTATACCAAAGAAATTGCAAGATGATTTCAAGTGTGCGGTAGGTAAATATGCGTCCGTAAGCACACCGTGGATTCGATTGTCTCACCAAAAGGTTATTGACGATTTACAAACACAAAATGAAAAATCCTGCTTCTGGCCATTCCGCAAAAACCTTGAAGTGTGTATAACGTCTTTCAAATAAACTAATTACCACCTATAACAACGTCAAACAATATTTTTTATCAAATAATGTTGTTGTTCGTTAATACGATCCGTGTTTTAGAACATTCAAAACGATTACGTGTTGATTGGTTACAAACCGTTCAGCAAGACGGATGAAGAATTCTTAATATGCACCACGGATGCGGCTAGGAGGTACATAGAAGAAAAACAAATCAAAAAGAAAACAAATCCTAATCAACAAGTAGAGCGGTCTACGATTCGCGTTCCAGGTTCTTGGGAGACTTACGGTAGCGAAAAAGAAATACAAGAAAGCAAAACAACACATAGTCGTGAAAAGGTATATTTTATAACATTGACCGTAACGCTTTTGATTTACCATGGGCGTGTGTTGATCATTAAAAAAATTGAGAAATGCTTTGAGAGCTGTATGGAAGCGACGGTTGATGGTTTAGACGTTGAATAAAAGTCCAATAATTTTCAATTTGCAGATCACTTATGAATGGACACTGTCATTTGAGAGATTACAATCGAATCCCCAGTTGGATGATTCTAATTCGAAGTCTATGAATAATGGTTATATAAAATTAGAACCCGGGCCAAAACACAAAATCACAAAAGACGAAGGGCTGCTGGTTACCGATACAAGTACCCAAGTAATAATAAATTGCTTACTGGTATCAATGTTGTCGAATAGTAAAAAAATAATGTAACATTTGTTTGCAATTAGGCCGTAAAAGAGACTTTTAACAGAGAAATGCAAACAATACCAAGAATCAAACATAGCAAATGCATTCAATCGGTGGCTGTAGAAGAAGAAATGTTTCAACCACAGCCAACAACACAAACAAACGGACAACTCGAAGATTTTTTAAGAACCCATGTCCCCAAGTAAAACTAAAACTACAATATTTTTATTGCATAGATATATATGGATAAAACATCAAAGTGTTTTCAAGTTTTCTACGCTATACTTAAATGTCGTACACGTTTAGTCTAGAGTCCCAACTGCACTATAATGAGCTATATGATTTGTACGGAGACGACTATAAAGAGCTGTTACACGATAAATCTTTTAAAACAACTGAACAGAGATCAGTCTCTTTGAACGCTCAGCCAGAATACCGAAACATAACAGAGTTGCAATACGTGTCTTGTTTTTCGTGGCATCCTACAATATCAGGTAAGGTAATAATTAATGCGAAATATCGATATTCACTTGCTCCCCTATTTTATATTTTCAGGAGTATTCGCAGTGTCTTACTCATCTACAAATACAGCGTTACATAGAAATGTGAATCTCAAAGACGTCGATAACAATGTTGTGAAATCGACTGTCGAAGACGAAACATATGGTAACGTGTACAATGACGGGAAAAACGACAATAAATCTTTGAAGGTTCAGTCGGAATCCAGACTGTCTGAAGATAATTTCGAAGAAAAGATAACGACCATGTTGAACAACGATTACATTCAAGTTAGTAGTATTAAAATTTCACGTTACATAGTTTACAATTTATTACAGTTGATGACCAACGTTGTTTGTACTTGTGATTTCTCATAAAGAGAATGAGGATACTGCAAATAACCGATGATGATAACGACGAATGTGCCCAAGACGCCATAGCCGAATTGCGTAAAGCTTTCGTTGACGATTATTTTGAAGACAACCATCTGAAAAATTGCGAAAACAATACAAATACCGTAGAACGGCCAGCAACTTGTAACGACACGGATGAATCTGAAATTAGGAGAGAAGTTTCTAAAGAGAATAGAACACCGAAAGAAGGAGCAATCGGTCAGACTCCTTTCATTGACAGTGCAAAGAATCAATGGGATGATTTCGCGGCACCCGAAGAAGATGACTTTGAAATAGACCAACATGTAAAAGTAGTGGGAAAACGGGAACTCGTAACGCATGACAAACCGGGTACGGAAGCGAAAAGTAGTCCAGAAAATCAATTGGTTTATAATAAAGACGGTGCCGAAGACAAAGATGATGTCGATCATCACGGATCAGACACAGATAGCTTTTACAACATTTGGGGTGCCGACGAAGATTGGGTGTATGGCAACAATCTTAGGAATGCTGTTAGAAAACTGCATAGGTTGTATCCAAAATCGCTTGTACGGTATATATATACATATATTATTTTTGTACTAACAATGTAATTATGTTTTCAATAGGAATTTCAACAGGAAAAACGACCGTGAAACAAGAGACGACAAATTAGCTAGACTTTTGTTGTCGGAAGCGAATGCGGAGGAATCAATTAAGTACGTGAAGAAAAATAACGTTTGAACTTAGTGACAACCATTTCTTTTTTTTTTTTTAAATCAGAACTAATAACACGGTTAAAGAAAGAAAACAAATAGCCAAAGACGTGTCAGAAGCCGGAGTAACGTATCAACATTTGAAAAAACGAAAAAAATCTGCATATACAAAAGAGAGAGAAAGAACATCAGAAAAAATTAAATTGGAGTTGGCGACTTTAAATAATAACGAAAAATCAAAAACAAGCCCAATAGATATTACAAAAACATTAAAGGAGCAAAATAATCGAGTGGTAATCTGGTCGATCGACGACAACATATTTCCAAAGGTAAGCTATTTAGGCGTACTGTTACTGAAGAAACAAATATATTTTTAATTACTAATACAAAATTACACTCAAGTTGAGGTTGGACAGTCCCGAGGAGGTATGTTGCATTCAGTTTAACCCTAGGGACGGCAACACAGTAGTTGGAGGATTAAGAAACGGTCAGATAGGTATATGGGATATCACAGGAAAATTGGAAAACTTGAATTCTAACAGTTGTTGTACTATGTCGGAAAAAGAAAATACGCATCGCAAACGACTTGTAAAATAAAAACATTTCGATATCTATTTCTTTTAATATTGATTGATTATTTATAGCTATAGTTGTTGAAATGTTTAGTGGTCGTATATGAAATGGTCTATGGACATCGACCTTAAATCCCGAATCAAACCAACAGCTATGAGTGCTATCTTGGAATCGCACACTTCAATGGTAACTGCTATACAATGGATGCATCCAATGACCGAGGTTAGTCCTGTAAGCTATTTAAATACAGTTCTCACCTATTCTTACTAGTTTAGCTAAACACTTAAGTAAAGTTCAGCCGAAGTGTTGGTGTTTTTAAAACTATATTACTATATTAACTAAGGTAAACTGACAAATTAGTCATAAATATTTTTTACACTGTGCACTATTACTTAGGTTATTCAAATAAAAAATAAAAATAAATTTTGTTTTAGCTCTATTATTTTCTCTGTATTCTTTACAGTTTACACAAGCTGGTAAACTGGTTATGAATAATAATGATCAGTTTTCTAAACAATTTTTTTCCTCCTCTATGGATGGATGTATCAAACTTTGGGATTTACATTCGACGCCAATATTAAACGTTAAACAGAAAACCGCAAATACGAATTATCCACCTACTAACTATCCCGAGAAGTTGAACGAATATAAGTCACCTTTGAGAATATATCACAACCGGCTGCGACCTTCATACACGGTTTGAGTTATTTTGAATTTGTGTGCATTAACATTTTAAATTATCATACAGTAATATTATTTTAATAATTTTAAATTGAAATGACTATCAAAAAAAGTTACATGATATTTTTCACCATTGATGTAACAGATTAAAGTTTTGGAACCAGGGAAAAAAAACCCTAGCCCAATAACCGCGCTATCATTTGAAATCCCATTGATGAAATACAACTTTGTATCTGATCAACCGCTTACGGTAGGGAAACGACAATTTGAATACGGTGAGTTGCTTTACGGATATAAATTCAACATTAAGTGTAATTTCTTGATGACATCTTATTATGAACGGCCGGTTATGACTATATTATAGTAAAAACGTCAACGCGGGATCCGAATCGAATAATGGTGGTTGGAAGCATAATGGGTCAGATCGGCGTCATTACGTGGAATGGTTTTGATAGTTATCAGGAAGGCCAGAATGAAGAAGGTATTATCTCTACAGTGCGCTGAGCTACTAATTCACTTAATATTTTTTGATTTTTAGAGTGCAAACACATTTGGTGGGGATACGTACACGATGGACCGATCAGCTGCATTAAAAGAAATCCGTTTTATCCGGATATCCATCTAGTCTGCGGTGGTCATATTGTATCAATTTGGAATTTAAATTATAGCGTATGCCGTTGAAATATATTCGCTAATTGTTCACTAGACCGATAATAGGATATTAACAGTAGTTAATTATACATAATTATTGTACAGGGCGGTCCATTGTGGTGGAAGCGTTTTCGAGAGTTCACAACTAGCGGCTTATGGTCCAGCGTTCATGCGGGAGAGTTTCGAATATCATTCGATACCGGTGTGATCGAATTTTGGGACTTTATGATGCACTCGCACAAGCCTTATTTTGTATCCGAAATCCTCAGCGATGGAGCTATAACCAGTGGGTTCATGCTTGTCTCGTAAAATTGCGCTTTGCTTCTATAAAAACACCTTATTTGTATATAATAATTTTCCATACAGCGTTGTCTGCTCCAAATCCATTAGTACATTTTTTAAATGCCACAAGGTGCGAGAGTTCTAATGAAACAAGTGAGCTGATTGATTTCAATAAAAACGAATTTATCGGTTTCGCCGACTTCGCCGGGACCGTGCGGTTGTTTAGCATGAACGCAAATGTCTCAGATTTGAGAAAAATTAAAGAAGTCGGCCACTTGTTCCACAAAGAATCAGAAAGGAGGAGAGAACTAGATTTATGGAATGAAAGGTATAAAGAACAATTCGGATCAAAGGGAGAAAACGATTTCGATGACTGCGAATCGGTAGAGATACGAAAGCCGCCAACGGTGCACATAGAAAAACAATCGGAGCAACTTACTTCAGAACAAACAAAGAGAAAGATCTGCGTTGAAACGTTCAAGTATTTCAATCAAAGTGTTTATGTCATCAGTTATTTTAATTTGTTTTAACTTTGCGGTGTTATAGATGGTATTTTAATCGGAGAGGCTCACAAACGCGTTTGAGAAAAATGAAAGAAATACATACGGAACGACAAAGGCGTCACATGTTAGAAATTATAATGAAAAAAAAGAACGTCAGCAAAAAGCAATTGGAAGAGTTTATTAATCCGGTTCAACAAGAATCGGAAAGAAAAAAAGATTTCAAAGATGATATGGAAAGAATGAGGTCAGAAGCCGACAAAACTTTCAGGGATATTGTTAACAAATTGTTACCCTCCGAACAAAAGGTCGAATTCGTGAGTTAAAGTTGTTTTTTAAATAAACCAAGCTGATAGATTTCATACTGTTAAAATATTTAATAAATTGATCTCATACGGTAATAAAATTAGGTACTATAAATACTATACTATAAATAATAATATGTTTATTTTTAACTCTGCACTAACAGCTAAGTGTAATTTATAGAATTTAGACAGCGAGTTAAAAATGGACAATGATTCCGATAAAACAAAAAGTACGGTCGAACGAATTCGCAAATTGTTAGGTGCAGATTTTGAAGCCGAGAAGAAAAAATTGAACGAGATTGTTCAGAAAATTCCATTTAAGACCGTGCAAGAAGACTGGGCTCAATTAATCGATAACGCAGAAAGTGCTATTAGAGACAGACTGAACGATCCTACACTTTTAAAACCACCATCAATTCGGTAATTAATACTACACATATTTACTAGTTATTGATTTATATAATATGATAGTTATTTTAATAAATATACTAAAAACATTCTTTCTCGGTCTGGATTCGAGAACGGTTTAACTATCTTTCAACATGTTTACAGTACCATGCGTCGAAAGTTAGCTAAGAAATACATTGAAGATGGTTATGGAGTAAAGGAATTTGTGAGTCGCAAAGAAAAATATAAAAATGACCGGTTCACAATACGAGAAAACCATATACAACAATTGAGAGCGGTTTACGGTGAAAAATATAATATTTACTGGGATAAAGACCAGATTCAACATAGAATGGAAGACGCTCTTAGGATGCGAATTAAGGATTCGCCATTTTCATACGATGAACTACAGTTTCAAAAAGAAGAAGTAGGTAAGTCGAAACTCACTGTTATAATACTACAACAATTAGTGAAATGGCAAAACAATCAATAAGGTTCTTTGATATAATTTTTATTAGGAGATGGTTGTGAAACGGAGGACGTATAATATTTGGGATCTTCATTCAAAGTCTTCATTTAAACTAAATGTTAAGAATGACGTTTGACAAATCTTACTTGAATACCGTACAAGTGAATGCCTAAAATTACAAATCAACAAGGCAGAAATAAAGGTGGAAAATGATCAAAAGGCGAAATTAGTAGGAGAAAATTATGTAACATAAATTAAAAAAAATAAGAATAATAAGTATTATCCAAAATTCTGGAGCTACATATAAACGGTTCTAGCTCTGGAAGTTATAAAAATACAGTTATGTAGATTTCACTTGTTTTATTCAACGTCGAATTTTTGAAAACTTCGATTTCTTAGCACAATTGACACACATATTATTGAATATACATAATATTGTGTAACATATCTGTAACATAGGTTTAAAAGGATCGATGTGAAATGTTGACACCGCAAAAAACATGTAAATTAGTATAACCTACATACTGTGTCAAAAAAAAAAAAAAAATACATAAAAGTAATGAAGAGTTGTATAGAGCTTTAAAGAATATATTATATAAAAAAACATATTTTCCAAAAGTCGCCTTACTTAATATAGTCTACATCATTTAGACAAAAACATCATATTTGATTTTAATTTTTGCAAGTATTGGTTTCATGAAAAATATCGTTGCTTTGTTTTGATTTTATGCAGAATAATAAATATTTAATTATTCGCTATAACTATAGCTTAATAAAATTCAACATTTTGCAAGAAGAAGGGGAAGAATATTTGTTTTTTTTCAAAACAAAATTTGGTTAAATTACTGAAATCATGTCACATTATTGGGTTTAAATTTTATTAAGTTCTGGAATTCTATTAACTTTTGTATATACCTAACCAAATATTTAACGTGTAAAACGTCATATTATAATCGAATAAAAGCTTTATTTTTGAATGGTTTGTAAAAATAAAGAATACATTCAATTATTGTATATATATATATATTAAGTAACTGTACTTAATGATTATCAAATCATAGTTCAAGTATTTAATTACAATTTAGTACATCAGTAATGAAAACTTAAATCAGTCGTATTTTATTTGTTTAGAATGTTTTTAAATAAAATATTACGTGTTATTATACATATTCTATTATTTATATACTATATTTTTATATATTACGTTAAATTGCGTGAACTAAATAAATTCAAGACGAGCGGTAAATAATTATCAGCGTGTTTTCGCTTCGGAACGTCTGGCGGGCTGTTTCAACAAAAACGGTTGAAAACAACATCTATGTGTATTTGAACGAAAAACAAAAATCGAGCGAAACAAATAACGACTTGCGCTTTATTTTCATAGGTTTTCGCATGAAAACAAGTAACGACAAAATATATTCTAGGTCATACGACCGTTGTGTTGATTTCTACGAGACATTAGTACAGCAACTATACAACAGTAAGCATGTCGCACGTTCCATGTTTCTTGATTATCGCCGTGGCCGTGTGTATCGGCTCAATTACCGCCGGCGATGTTGCGGCCGGAATCGAAGAACAATGGAATACCGTGCGAAAGCTCAATAAGGGACCGTATGCGGAACCAATGCCGGATGTCGCGCCTAAGGACGAAGAGACGATAATGGAAAACATAAGTGCGGGATACGCAGACCTGAAGTGTAGCTATTCGTTCAGTGTGCTGTTGCATCTAAAGCTGACCAAAGGCCGGGTCACGCGGAAGCGAAAGACCGGCCAGAAAGGTGCGGGTGAAAATATCGAAACCGACGTGACGTTCAGGAATGAAGGCCGGCAGATATTGGAGTTTATGAATCACATCCCCGACGACAAGGTGCGGTCCGAAATCAGCATATTTTGGTCATTCGCCATGTACACCGAAAGGGTGCAAAAGTACGGGACCATGGTCTTCGAAGAAGCAGAAGAAGAGAAAGTGAAGGAATCGCTGACCATCGTGCACGATGCGGTGACACAATTGTTCGAAAAGTGTTTGGGAGAATGCATGTGTTACGACGAGAACTCTGGATTGCGGTCGAAGGGTTTGCTTTTGAAAAAAATCGACGGTTTGGTCAGTTCGGCCAAAGGTCCAGAATCCAAGGTTACGTTGATCGGTGAAAATAAAAATAAGTTCAAACAACAGGTCGAAGTCAACAGACAACTGATCCCATACCACGACGATTGTACAAACCAGCTGAAAATGCAACGCATGCACCTGAACAACTTGCATAAATCAGACACGGACATGACTATCCTGGTGCAGCATTTGGGTATGTTTGACCAAAATTCACAAATATTATTCGTAAACGAATTAAACAAATCATTTAACTTAGCCGTGAGCACTACGGCACCGCTACACAAGCATATGGACGGTCTCGCACGGTTTCAACAAGTTTTCATGCAAATGCTCAAAGCAATCATGCTACGTATAGTGCACAAATACTTGGAGCGCGTATATAACAAAAATAATTCTAAGTTGGCATATTTAAAGGGTAAAAGAAAATCTGTCCACGAGTCTCACACGGACGAAATGCAGATTGTACTGACTAATTTCTACGAATATCTTAAATTCGCTGCCTGTAACGACGCACTCATGTCCAAAGACATTGAAAAAGTCATTGAAGACTTTAGTAATCCCACGGTTAGTTTAAGCAACAAAAATCAAATCAATACATTGATGACTTACATCCACGATTCATTGATAAGCATTATGAAGAAAATACGTATCGGATTTTCATTGACTTACTACGACGTTGTCACTGAAGCACCCAGTAAATTCCCAATACCCAGCAATATAAATAATACAGTTAAAAGTGTGGTAAAAAATAAACTTAGATATATGGCTAATAAACACCTTGATGTGTTGGCAACCCAATTTGAGATACAACAAACGAGTGGCGGAGAGGATAAGTTGTTAGACGAGAATGTTCTGAGAGGCAAAATTTTTATTGAATTTATACGCAAAAAATTAGAATTTGTCAATTTTCCTTTTATTTGGTCCTGTTCAAGTGTCATGAAATCGGATTGGGTAACTAAATTACAATTATAGAAGTTGATATGCTGGATGAAAACGATATTACAGACGTTGACAATGATTCATATAGAGCGGTGAACGAGTAATAATCGACAAAAACAGCAGTACACTTCAATCTTTATGTATTTTCTAAAATGATTTCAACATTTCCATATTTTATTATTCTTATGCCATTTTGTCTTTTTAAAATTAACAATCATTGTACTAATATCAACTTGATTTATTGTTTTGTTTGTAATTAAGATAATAGGTTATTACAATATATACATACATTTACTTTTTGATATGACCGCAGACTATTTATCTTATTATTATCCATATAAGACGTGTAATTAACATAATATATCTCTCTAGTTTGGTTTCTATTCTAACGTGCAAAAAAAGTACTTCTTAATCAGAGAAAGCCGATATCCTAAAATACAAATATACAACTGGTTTTAATTAAATTACTTGATGTGTATTTGTGAAACTGGAGACCAAGGGTCCGGATAAAGTTCCTGAAATTGTTCCGGGACTTACTCGTAAGTTCCGGAGTAAAAAGATATTTGTGTGTTAAATCGTAAAAATAAAACGTTTACTAAAATTGCATCCAAGTTTCAGCATTGGCGTTAAATCTACTTGCCAACAAAGCATTTGTTAATGTTTTATTTCTTATATAATCGCCTATGGGCCATGACGATATCCGATAAACTTTATGCACGATATGTGCATTATTTTAATCCGGCCAAAAATATAGTAACTACCCATTTTTAAACTCTATATTATTCTGTTTTAATTCTCAGTTTTAATATTCTGTTGCAATCATAGATTTGGTTATTAATAAGTTACGTTTTTCGACATTTTACTTAGATTTGTTAAGTGAAATTGAAAATAACAGTTTTAACTTTTAATGTAATTTTGTTTTATTCATTATAGTACAATTAACAACTTCTTAATAGGATACACGGTTAGAAATTAGAATACAATAACACAAGTATGATGTTACGAACAAAAATCGTGTACACTTACACAAAAAGTATGAAATAGGTGCATGTCAATATTAAAATGATTTCTATGGATACGTGTTAAAACGAACAAATTGATTTTAGTGATTTATAATTTCGAAAAAAAAGGAGCTATTCAGTTATTGTTTCAGGCTTAAACAATTAAACTAGTTCCTTTTCTCGTTTCATAATTTTTAATATAATTAACATTGCTATGGTCTATAGGAGTAAAATATAGTTATTTTTGACTTTGAAATTGATCTGAATAGATTATGTTTTTTTTAACAACAAAAATATATTAAATTCAAATGTTTTGATTTTTTAATAATAAATGGTTATTCCTTTTTTTTTTTATGAACAAATGTAACTTATAAAACAATACTTATACGCGATGACCATATTATTGATGTATACTGTAACTGACAAGTGACCTTACTTTAAAAAAATACGCTGAAAAATAAAAATAAAGAAAAAGTTGCCATTCTATCAAGGGGCAAGGGGATAATGATATATAGGTATATTTTTTTTTATTATACATGCTAATTTATTAAAAATAAAATTAAAGATAATTTTTATTTTATTTGTGTTTAACGAAAAAACCGTTTCCATTAAAAATGTTACGAAATTCCAGTAGTCGTTGAACACAAAAAATAAAAAATAAAAAGCGAAATTAATTGTATAGAACGGATGGCCGGAGCAAAAATCATACAACTTTACTCCTCAAGTTTTGGCGTCGTGTCTTTAAAGATAAATGTATCTCTAGCGATAGTCTCTTGTAGTGCAATAAAGACCTCGTTAATCGGCAAATTACCAACTCTTCTGGACGGTTGACCTCTTTTCAAGAGTCCAGCCATGTTGTCGAATCGCTCCGTGAAATCTTGGCAAGCTGTCTCGAAGAACCGATTGGCTTTCGATTGGTCTTGATTCGGCTGCCGCATTACGAGGGCGGCACGTTCTACTTGCTGGATCGGCTCGAACCATACGTTGAATTGTGAAAATTTGATTCGGAT